ATTTATTATATAATATACCATTTCAATCTCTCGAATAATGTTCTTAAGGTAGATTACATTTCCCATGTTATTATAATTGTTAAACATCGTGATGATTTTTCTCTTATCATTACACCCAAGAAACCTAATGTTATTTTTAATAATTTCGATTAATTTTTTTTCTTATTGTTATGCTAATAAAATAATATTTTATCGTTAATAATTGTTCCCATTTAAGAAAATGCAGATGCAGTAGTTATACATCCTTGCACATAATATAATAATCATTCTGCATAGAGAATTTTGTTGTATAACACACAACTTTTTTTTATTACATATAAACGTAATGGAATATTCTGATGTTTACTGAAAGGAAGATCAAACCGTGCAGGAAATGTTATTGGATGTTATCTGTATCCTTAAATTTGATCAGTTACAGTTGATACTTGTGCATACTTGCATATCAACTTTTCTTCTACGAATTCTTATCACCATTTTCTCTCGTAACAAAAATATTCCTCGATAAATCACTTTTTACTCGTTTTTTCTCATCACTACAAGTTTCTCATTTATTGATATTTTTTTTTCTTTTTTTTTAAATTGCATCATATTTCGATTTGTGCATTGTGAATGTCATTTCAATTAAAAACAAAAAAAACTTATCGAAAGTTGATTTTTCGTAATCATTTAGTAAACTTGGATGTAACCCGATCACCCCCACCCCTACCCTTAAAAGGTGGTATCCGAGAGAGTGCAAAGGTTTAATTAAGATTTAATTAAAGGAAGAAATTAAAAAGATTATTGTTCTGTATGAAAGAGGGAAAGAGAGATATGAGATAGATAGGAAAGAGCATGTTTTTTTTAAGTAATACTAAATGATTTCAAGGGTACAACATTATTTTTACTATGGCGCGACGTGTTGATAAAATAACTGTCAGAATGAGATACGTGCGATAACGGGGAAAGATGATAAAGTTTACCAAATTATTATTATTATCTTTGTTATTTTCTCGTAAATAAATAATCGAAGAAGAAAATTGAACATTCGTTTACTGAACAAACAAAAAGAAAAATAAAATATGAGAAATCTAAAAAAAAGATAAAGAAAAAATATCTTCCAAAATCATACGCGAACAATTAATTTACATTTATACAAAATTGCATAATTTTGTTGTTGTTATTTGCTTATTTATAATATATAAAAATAAATGATTGAAGGAACGAAATGAATTAAATGATAAACGATCAACGATGTGGACGATTTTGAAACGATTTTTTATTATTCCCGTTGACCTGAACAAAAGAAAAAATGTATATAAAAAAAAAAGAAAAAGTAAAGTTCGGAATTTCCATTTTTATAATTGTAGTACATACGTCGATGAACATAACTTTCCTATATTAACGTTCGCAACGACGAGCGTGAAGAAATAAAAAGAAAAAGAAAGAAGATTATGCTTAATCAAAAATAATGGCGTGGGGGAGGGGTGGAAGGGGAGGAGAAAGTGAAATAAAAAATGAAGAAAAAACATATGAAAACGAATTAAAATTCATGGCAATTGTTAGCAACGTTAAATGATTTCTTGAAAAAAACCGCGAAAGGTCGAGTTAATTTTCGAATATTTCGATACGAGTAACTCGATACCGCTAATTTTTATTTTTTTTTGTCAGTTATAATGCAATTTAAACGAATATAATAATGATAATGAAAAAATAAAAGATCTCAATCTAACAATAAGATATTTGATTTTTCCAATTAAAAAATATGTTTGGAGAAACGAATTGTTTGATTAATTTTTATGCGCTCGTCGTTTGCGAATTGTTATTACTTTGTCATTATTTATACATATATATATATATATTTATTTTAAAAATATCGGCGTAATATAGTTTCTCTTTCCGTTCGGATATAATTGATTAATTAATTAAATTCGTTCGATTTGTACGATCATTATTAATTCGTTCATTCGTAATGGATACGTGATTATGCGAATAAAACATTAAAACGTATCCATTGCATACATATTTGGCATCTTTCAAGACGATTATCGTACAAAAATAATCCTACCTATCTAATTCTAATCATTTCTTAAACTTAACAACACGTTTTTTACGAAATATTTATATATATAATATATATATATAAAACATATACAAATTGTGAGTAACGTATAATCATTGTACACACCCTTATAGTAAAAATAATATTAATAATAATAATAATAGTAATAATAATATAATAATAATTACAATCGAAGAAAAGCATATTTGTTTTTTTTTTCAAATTCGTCGTAGAACATTTTTCGGTTTTTATTAATTTTTGTTTGACCTTTTTGTTCGTTCTCCTCTTTCTACACATTTAAAATTTATAATATTATATAAATTAAAAAGAATGTATATATATATCGATAAAAATGTCTGGACGGATTTATGCATATACTGAAATAATGTTTATTAAAAATATTTATATCAAACATTTTATCTCTACTTTGATACACAGTAATTTTATTAAAATGTTTTTAGATAATAACTTTGTATATTCGTTATAGTTTCATTTCCGGTTTTATTGATATAAAATATTACTTTTTAAATAATGTTATCAAATTA